TAATCAAACTGTGCTTTTCCAAATAATCATAAATACTGTCTCTCAGAATCCTCTCCAATAACTTGCCCACCACAGAAGTAAGACTGACTGGTCTGTAATTTCCAGGATTATCCCTATTCCCTTTCTTGAACAAGGGAATGACATTTACCACCCTCCAATCTCCTGGTACTACTCCAGTGGACAGTGAGGACACAAAGATCACTGCCAAAGGGGCAGCAATCTCTTCCCTCACTTCCCTTAACAACCTTGGGGATATCCTATCTGGCCCAGGTGACTTATCTATCCTCATGTTTTTCAAACTTTCTAGCACATCCTCCTTCCTAACATCAACCTGTTCGCGCATATCTGCCTGTTTCATGCTGTCCTCACAAATGTCAAGGTCCTTCTCACTGGTGAATACTGAAGCAAAGTATTCAGTAAGGACCTCCCCTACCTCCTCTGACTCCACACATAAGTTTCCTCCACTTTCCCTGATTGGCCCTACCCTCACTCTGGCCATCCTTTTGTTTCTCTCACAAGCATAGAACGCCTTGGTTTTCCTTGATCCTACCCGCCAAGGTTTTCTCATACCCCCTTCGAGCTTTCCCACGTCCATTCTTCAGTTCCTTCCTGGCTACCTTGTAGACCTCCAGAGCCCTGTCTGGTCCTTGCTTCTTCAACCTTAAGTAAGCTTCCTTCTTCCTCTTGTCATCCAAGGAACCTTCACCTTACCATCCTTTCCTTGCCTCAGTGGGACAAGCCTATCCAGTACTTTTAGCAACTGCTCCCTAAACAACTTCCACATTTCTGTCGTACATTTCCCTGAGAACATCTGTTCCCAATTTATGCTCTACAGTTCTTGCCTAATAGCATTGTAATTCCCCCTCCCCCAACTAAATACTTTCCCATACTGTCTGCTATCCATCTCCAAGACTATAGTAAAGGTCAGGGAGTTGTGATCACGATCACCGAAATGCTCTCCCACCGAGAGATCTGACACCTGGCCTGGTTCGTTGCCAAGCACCAAATCCAATATGGCCTCCCCTCTAGTCGCCCTATCTACATATTGAGTCAGGAATCTTTCCTGGACACGCCTGACAAAATTTGCTCTATCCAAACTATTTGCACTAAGGAGGTTCCAGTCTATATAAGGGAAGTTGACGTCACCCATGATAACAACCCTATTACTTCTGCACCTTTCCAAAATATGCCTCCCAATCTGTTCCCCATGTCTCTGTTGCTATTGGCAGGGGGTGGGGGGCGGGGTCTATAGAAAACTCCCAATAAAGTGACTGCTCCTTTCCTGTTTCTGACTTCCGCCCATACTGACTTACTAGACAAACCGTCCTCGTCAATCTCCCTTTCTGCAGCTGTGATACCATCGCTGATTGGCAATGCCACTCCCCCACCTCTTTTACCTCCCTCCCTATTTCTTTTGAAACATCTGAACCCCAGAACATTCCAGCACCCATTCCTGCTCCTGTGTTATCCAAGTCTCCGTAATGGCCACAACATCGTAGTTCCAAGTACTGATCCATGCTCTAAGTTCGTCACCCTTATTCCCGACACTGCTTACATTTGAAGTAGACACAGCTTAACCCATCGCACTGACTGCCACTTTGCCCTATCAACTGCTTATCCTTCCTCACAGATTCTCTGCTTACTCTATCTGTCTGTACACCGGCTACTCCATCCTCTGATCTGTAGCTCTGATTCCCATCCCCCCCACCAAACTAGTTTAAACCCTCCTGAAGAGCTCTAGCAAACCTCCCATCCAGGATATTGGTGCCCTGCAAGTTCAGGTGCAATCCATCCTTCCTGTACAGGTGCCACGTTCCCCAGAAGGCATCCCAAATATCCACAAACCTGAAGCCCTCCCTCCTACATGTGTTCAGCTGCACTCGCTCTCTGTTTCTGGCCTCACTAGCCCGTGGCACTGGTAGTAATCCTGAGATTACTACTCCTGCTTGTCCTGGCTTTCAGCTTCCATCCTAACTTTTCAGGTCCTCATCCCATTTCCTAGCTATGTCACTGGTACCGATGTGTACCATGACTTCTGGCTGCTCTCCCTCCCCCTTTAAGTATCCTAAATACTTGATCCGAGGCATCCCTGACCCGGCACTAGGGAGGCAACATACCATCCAGGAGTCCCGCTCGGAACAGACAGGAGATCCTGTGGTACCCCTAACCATTGAATCTCCTCTCACTATTGCTCTCCTATTCTTCCCTTCTGAGCCACACATCCAGGCTCAGTGCCAGAAACCTGGCTGCAATGGCCTTCCCCTAGTAGGTCCCCCTGCACCCACCCCACCCCACATCAACAGTATCCAAAGCGGTATACTTGTTATTGAGGGGAACGGCCACAGGTGATCCCTGCACTGTGTCTACCTATTCCCTTCTCCCCCTCCTGACAGTCACCCAGCTACCTTTTGTCCTGTAACTTGGGTGTGACCACCTCCCTTTAACTCCTATCTATCACCCCCTCAGCCTCCCGAATGATCTGGAATTCATCCAGCTCTAGCTCCAGTTCCCTAACGCTGTCTGAGAGGGGCTGGAGTTGGGTGCACTTCTCACAGGTGAAGTCAGAGGGACACTAGTAGTGACTCTTGCCTCCCACATCGTACAAGAGGAGCATGCAACTGCCCTAGCTTCCATTCCCTCTACTCTAGATTGCCAAAAGAGATAAATGAAAAAAAAACTTACCTTACCGACCCTCCACACAGTCTTTTTGTTTGGTTAGAGGAGGGGGGATGGGTGGGAGACACTACATGTGTAGCGTTTCGGGTTTAGACAATGTCTGAATATAACAGTTCACTTCCTGGCTCGTGCTCTCACCACTCCCGCCACCGAAAGCAAGAACTGCTGACTCACGATGCATGACCTTATAAGGAAAATCTTACCTTCCCGGCTGCCCCCTGGCTCGCGCCACCACTCCTGCCGCTGAAAGCGAGAAGGCCGCTGACTCACCAGGCCAGTCCCTATAAGGAAAAATCCACACCCCCAGTGACCATGCTACATTGCCCATAGTGTCCAGAGGGGTGTAGTTTAGGTGGATTAGCTTGGGAAATGCATGTTTACAGGGATAGGGTAGATCTAGGTAGGATGACCTTCAAAGGGCAGGTGTGGACTTGATGGGCCTAATGGCCTGTTTCCACACTGTAGGGATTCTATGGTCATAGATCATAGAATCCCAACAGTGTGGAAACAGGACCTTTTGGCCCAACAA